AGAGAGAGAGAGAGAGAGAGAGAGAGAGAGAGAGAGAGAGAGAGAGAGAGAGAGAGAGAGAGAGAGAAAGAGAGAGAGAGTGAACAATGTTTGTCTGCTTATTATTAACAGTGCATGTGCTAACGATAATGTTTGACATGAGTCTCTCACCATGACACAAAGCGACTGGCCTGCGGCTCTCTCTCACAGACTCATACTGTTCATATCTGCTGCGCTTAGTTGGTGGTGGTGCCTTCTTGTCTGTCTCTACAATAGATTCCACGATAGTGTGTGTGATGCGTGCAGTGTCAGGGCGAGATTGCCCATGAATAATGGATATGGATGTTGACATTGCAAGATGCAATGTAGCACCACACGCAGTTGCCACTGCTCCGTGTATAAGGCAACTGAGGTTCTTTCCCCATGACATAGACGTCAACAACACAGCTTGTCTGTTCACAAGCACAAACCAAGATTTCCCCACACGTGGTCATCGTTTGCCATTCTCGTACGCTTTCATCAGAGCGACAACCCCCGCACATTGGATTCCACCATCTGATGTTGTATCCTTCTCCACGACCCGTATCAATGGATGTGGATCTGCAAACATACGTGCCAACCTCAATATTGCATGACACAAGCCTTTTGTCACTTGAATGTCACGTGCCTCTATGTCCCAATAATGATCATATTCCTCGCCACCCTCATCGCTGCTAACATCACTCCCACTGACTTCCAAATTTGCAAACGATGTGTCTGCATCTTCATCTTCGGCTTCTTGAGAATCCTCTTCATCATTGGTGTTTTGTGCATCTTCAGTCGCAAACACTTACTCCTCCCGACGCGAACGCACTTCCTCTCGTAATGACCAGCTTGTGATTATGTCCTCTGCGCCAACCTCTCCTGGAGTTGAAGTTATCACTGATTGATTGACTGCGCAGATCGGCATCTCTGTGTGCGCAAATGTCAAGGTCCCTTTTGTTGTCTCATGAGGTGGATGCAAAGCATGTGTAGCCACCATTGTCCATACTTTTATCCTCTTCCTTTGTCTCTCCACTTCAGAAACGGTCTGTCCAAGCTGTCACAAGGCCGCCATTATTGTTCCTTCGCACAATGGTGTCCCCATCACCAACTCGTCCTCCTCATTGTCCTTACTGTATTCCACAACGTCGTGTCCTTCAATTGTTTGCTCTGTTACGTCGTGTAACACCTCGTGGATGACACTTTTGTCCTCTGAAGATTTCTTCATGAAATCCACCATTTGGTCCAGTAGAAAGTACTCTACACCATCTGCAACTATCGTTGGAAGATCATGAAAGTCTTTGGGGGTTGCTTGTGGTATGTCTTTTATCCTTATTAACGATATAATTTCTGCTCCGTTCAGCTTCATGTCATCCTCCGTCCCCCCTTGGACCATTCCCACCCTTCTCGACTGGAATTTCATTAGTTTCTTGAATTCGCTGGTCCCGTAAACACCTTCTTTCTGCTGCATCGACTTGTCAATGTCTGTATCCTCACACATCCAGTCCACGACTCCATTCAGGCTGTACGCTGACTCCTCTGTCTGACTACCACTATGCGCTGCTCTTGTTCGCTTCAGGCGGTCCAAAAGATGTAGTGCTGTGGTTGCCTTGTCTCCATTTGCTGCAATCGTCCTATGGATGTCCAACTTGACATTGAAGTACACAGACACTCTTTCCTTCAACATCTCTAGCTCCATGTTGCTATCATAGTGAACACCCCTCGTTGCATATTTCATCACCTGAGAGAGAGCTGACTGCACCTCTTCTGGCGACAAAAACATGCTGCTTGTTCTTCTCTGTTTGTTATGTCTGTCAGTAGAAGGACACAATAAAGTGGAAGACCTCAGTTGTGGACTTTGCCACGACGTGAAATTTGAAGGACATCCAGACGGAAAACACACACGCACACCCAGACAAGCATGCGCACACACACACACACACACACATACACACACACACGCTCACACGCTCACACGCACGCACACCCACACAATCACGCACACACACACACACACACACACACATACACAAATACACACAAACTGGCACACACACACACGCACACTCACACATGTTACTTGTACCAAGGTTCGGTACTGCGTGTCCTCAACAAGAAGAAACTACGTCATTGTATGTGGAAATGACCTACACTAGCGAACTTCGCGAAAAGCAATGCTCTTGACCCCGCACAGTCG